GTACTGGTGTTACGGAAAAAAATAACATGCTCACAACATCCAATCAGATAAGTGGAACCGAGAATGTAGCATTTGAAGGCTTAAAAACACTGTTTCGTATTTGCTCGTAATTGACAAATAGTCACTGGCAAATTAAAGGTGAAGTAGGTGATTGTCTTCAGAAGCATTTTTGTTGTGCTGGTTGAAAGTCTCTTCGCAGTCTAATAGCAATGATTCAAGTAAATGAGCTAAATGTATTTATATGTATTTTTATATTTTGGGTAAGGCATAAAACTAAAATATGTTCATCCAATTAAATAGAGTCGGACTGACATCTCTCATAATTCCAATAAGTAGGTAAAACTGTCTGTCAGCAAATGCAGATTTGAACAATTGCGCAGCCATTTGTACGCATCTCAGCCGACCGCCGCGTGTTCACAAGAGAGAGTACACACGCGCGATTGGTGTAAAACCTGTTGAATCAAAACTTTTTAAAAACCTGAATTAATATTGGAGTTACCTTTGCACGCTGGAGAAAGGATGACACCATGGCTGAAGGATTTCTCTTAGACAGGTAATGTTTTATTTTAAAACAGCTTCATGCAAAGCTGATGTAACGTTAGTTGTTGTTACAAACGGGTTATATCTTCACAGAAGTGTTGTTCAGCCACTAAAATCTTCTGATGAAAGATTGATAAGACTATTTTCAGTTTCATAAGGGACCTTTTACAGCATCTATAATGTAGATTTTAATTAGTTTACCAACTACAAAACACAAGTAAATAGCGCTATTCCACCTAGTCTCTCCCTATATTGTTTACCATGTAACTCTAAATTATCTCTGAAATAGCATGTCAGTTTGGCTTGCAATACAATTAAGCACTAGTTGCTTTTAACCAAGCAGCAACCTCCTGCTCTCCCTCAGGAAGCCAATACGGAAGTAACTAAAACTGCAATTCATCCAAAATTCCGCTAGTCCTGGCCGCTCCTGGCTCCAAAACAGAGCAAGTTTCAAGTGAGCCCAGTGTCAGAATGGCCAACTTTACAGCAGAAAAAAAGGTGTTTACAGCCTGGTACAAAAAAAGATTTTGGTTAATACAGCTAATATTACCTTTCAAGACAAATGTGAGGGGGTGAATTTTTTTATAACTCATCCGTTTCCTTTATATTAAGTTATATTAAGTTTGCATAATTAAGGGAGTGGCCACTTGAGTGACAGCTAGGTGTCGTTGGTCGTCGTCACGTCACCTCAGCTGAATCCTGCAGATTAGCCACTGAACTCGGCATATTTATCGTATTTCTGTGTTGTTTTATGTGGCTTTACACAGTCAACTGCCTTTTGGACTTGTTTCCTACAATTATTAGATGGCATGGCATGCTGAGTGCACTTAATTGTGCTCACAAACCATTCACGTGGCCTCCGTTTCCCATGTGAGTAAAGTTATATACTTATATACCATCTCTATACATGTATTTGTTTTATTTAAGATCTGTAATGCACTCCAGAATCTGACGGATTGATTAGCTGTAGGCTCTAGAACAGTCATCTGAAGCGTTGTCATACAGTGTTATGCTGGAGTTCATCAATAGTCTTACATTAACTAACACAGACTATATCTGAAGTGTTTGGAAGTAATTTGCGTTTTCCTCCTGTTGAAAAACGTCATAAGAACAATGCTTAGTGGCTCAATGTATTACAGCAGTGTTTTTAAAAGTCTAAACACTTTATTGATATTGTATACAACCAAGCACAAGTGGTCAGAATACAAATGAATCGCAGGTGATAAAGTATTAAGCGTTCTCCCAAAGTAAAGTGTGTCTGAACCAGGTCCAAGCAAAATGCCAGCAGGTGTCTGTAGCTCCGCTCACTCTCCGCCTCTTTGCCCTTGTTTGGTATCCCACCGTGGGTGTGATGACGCGCGAACAAAATGACGACGGTTGGCCGCGCCTACTTGTGGCTTCTTTTGCACTCTTTAGAAACCAATGGGTGACGTCACGGATACTACGTCCATATATTTTACAGTCTATGCTTTTAACACATGAGAGAGGGTTTTGCTGTGCTCGTATTTAAGGAGGTGTGGCTCTAGATGGCAGGGGAGGGAGTGTGATTCAGAGATTTATGCTAAGCTGTTAGCATTGTGAAAGATCACCTACTGCACCTTTAAACTTTAGTGACAAGGCAGCAGTGGCCGTATCGGGCCAGTAACGATCCTGTCTACTGTCCTAGGCATCTCACATGCTGGCCCCAGGCCATCGGGCAGTCCTTGTTATTGAGCCCTGTAGTAAAAACTGACATCCATATCAGGGAAAACAAACACAATGGAGTCTAATGATTTCCAACATTCTTCAAAATATCTTCTTCTGTGCTCATAGAAGAAAGAAAGCCAAACAGCACTGAGAAAAATAGAGAGTGAGAAAATGATAGGATTTTTAATTTTAGGTGATCTATTCCTTTAATTTGCTTTTATTAATACATAATTTTTCTGTTACCGTCTTCTGACACAGCAATGTAACATTAATCTATGTATAAACCCTTATTTTAATAGCTAAATATTTCGGTTTGCCTTCATTACAAACTCCAAATACGAGCACTCCGCCCAGATTACAGAATGTAGTACTGTTATACCGAAAGCATACCATAACAGGTCAACAGCACTTTTACGTTTATACTGAACATACAAAACAAACACGTAATTTTTCCCCCGACACCAACCTCCATTTGAATCATCAGTGGTGTTGAAGATTAAAGTGAGTTACTGACTTCCATCCATTTTCCTTGAGCAATTTCAGTGTAAACAAAAGCTGGTTGTAGAATTTGCATGAATAGATAACAAATCTGCAAGTATTTATCTAGATATGATCAAGTTATGATTTTAGAAAATTGAGCTATTTTAGATGAAACACGGGTTTTTCTTCCTGATAGGAAATGTTATGCAGCTAAATAAAAAACTGCATGAGCATCCACAATGGACAAAACGCTTTTGTTAATTAAAAATATTTGAAGAAAGCAGAAGTGCCTGATTTAAATGTAGGCTATCATTTGACATTCAAAAATCTCACCATGACTTTTACTGTCAACCATTCAATTCAACTGATGTTTATTTGTATACGTTTTTCACACTAATTATTGTTTCAAAGCAGCTTTACAAAAGGTGCACATTATTGCATAACAATCAAATTCATAAAAGTTAAGGTTATTAGTTACCATAACTGTATTAGTTACTAATATTTATTTATTTAAAATTTCTGCCACCCACTATGTTAGCGAACATGTAACGAGACAAAATAATAATTAAGTTTATGATATTAGTAACCCCCTATACCCTATTTTTTTCTTTTCTTTAATTTCTCTTTATTTATTTATTTTTTTTTCTGGTTTGGTTTACTTTTGCAATTTATATGATGTTATTTATTTATTGTATTTGTTTATGTTGTATTGTTCTGCTTTTATGTTAATGCTCTGTGTTTGACATTCATCTGCATTATCTGAAATAAGAAAAATCAATAAAAAGTTCAAATCATAAAAAAAGTATTTCTACTGAGAATAAAAAAATGTGTAAAATTATTTATGCGGAATGATTTTAGGAGTATCATAACTAAAAACCTAAATATGAAATAAATAAAAAATACACTTAACTTTTATTTATTATTTACAATGCAAATCAAATTAGATCCTCTAATGATTCTTTAATTTAATATTTAGTAAACAAAATCTCGCTTATAATATATCTATTAAAAGACAGAAAATATTACTTACAAACTATTGTAAATAAATCAAATGGACCTTATAATATTATTATCACAGTAATTTTAGTGAAGGTTCATTTAAAAACTGAATAAATATAAATTTACAAACATTTACACAAGTAAATACATAGACTCAATGATGGGGTAAAAATCTTTCTGTGCACATAGACTCCATGTTTGCCTACTAATAAACATGGTTAACCTGCTGTTATATAGCATATAATGCAAGTCTTAAAGGGCACCTAGGTTACCTCTTTTTCCAGATGTAATATAAGTCTTTTGTGTCTCCAGAATGTGCATATTGAGTAACTCAATATTGTAATGCATTATTTTCAGTAGCTTCCCTCAACACTGGTCACAGATATGCTTTGAATTATCGTCAACATCTTTAATAGTCAAATCCCTTTTTTTTTTTTGGCACCATTAATGTCTAAGTTTGTACAGTATATTATAGCCACGGTCGTCTAAGCTTGCATATTAGCACCATTGACGTCTAAGCTTGAACATCAGCACCATCGACGTATTGACCTTATTCTCCGCAGAAGCTTTTTGGCACGAGACTTCCGGTCTCATTCACTTCCATTCATTTTTAGACATTAAAAACTGCTCGTTTCGCTGTTTGATGTTGCAAACTGATATTTCCATGTTATATTATTCTACTTGGTCTGTATAGTCATGCAAACATTTGTTTGTAGAGCAAGTAGTTCGACCGTTTTTTGCCGTTTATTATTCCTTGTCATTTCTCCCATAGGCGACTGAAACGGAAGTTCTAAGACAATCGCGAAAACAGGCGCACTTCCGCATTTTAGAATAAGGTCAATAAGCTTAAATATATGAGCACCATTGCATATTAATCTTTGATCAAAGTATGTTGGCACAAAATCTTTTTTGATTAGAAGTTGGTCTATCTCAACATATACCAGCATAATCAGCGTTACTTGCCCTCATCTTCAGACATTTTCAAATTGTGACCCATACCATTGATCTTATTCTTGACGTACAAGCGGGTGCAGCCATTGGAATCTTTTTGGCTCTGTAAACTTCCGGTCTCAATCATTTCCATTGATTTTGAGATATTAAAAACAGCTTGCTATGCTGATTGATTATTTCTAGTCTTTTCTCCCATAGGCTACTGAATCTTCTGTATTGTAGAATAAGGCCAGTACATTAAATATAGAAGCTGTTGTCTGTTGATGTTCAGTGGAAATAACAGCTAAGACCTTTTGGCAACTTTTTGTCAAGGATGAGCATTGATTCCAGTAAACCGAGCTGTGTGGTGAAGAACAGGTTTAATTACATTGTTCACATATTATACATTGATTTGTTCACTTCCCTGAAACTTGTATTCGTTCACAGTATTTGATAGTAGAAAAAAGAGGATCAATGAAGAGGATTCATTTCATGTACTCATTTATACTTGTGTGTTGATCATTTATGAGAAGGTTGAGAATTTAAAGAAATTTTGCTGTTGTGTAGTGACATTTCCCTTAATGTTGCTGCATACATCTTTAATAGAAACAACTTTTTAAGGAGTTTTATATCCTTTTCTTGTATTACGGCCATATCCTTTCAACTTTTCTCATTTTCAGCCCAACTGAACTTAATAGTCCTTGACTGACCAGCTCCTCTTTTATCTACAAAAACAAATCAATAAATTAAAAACAAAAGTCGTGCAAATAAAAATGTTTGTATATACTGTATTTTTCATTGTATTTAACTTGTTGAGTAAAAAAATATGTTTTTAACATAACAAAGTCGATAGACATTGATGTAGGATTGTACTATTTACTCTCAGGCAAAAATCTGAATCCACAGAGAGATTTTATGAGAAGTGACTTACCAGCTGCAACACAACCTCCTTGTTTTGAGACTGTGTTAGGTCTAAGTATGACCTAAGCTTCATTTGAAGTCCTATGACGTTTTCTATAAGGACACACAAACATAAGGCATCAGATGACATGATTTGAATAAACTGTTTATTGTAGCAGATAATGTTGAAGTAAGACCTACCTGTCCCGTTGTTCACAAGAAAGGCCCAACGACCAGGAACATTTACATTAGTGGTGTCCTTGAGGTTTGGGATTAAGTAGCCAGTAGGGTAATCATAATGAATGACATGGTAGTCAGTGGAGCCAATGGTATCATATCCAGCCTGTTAAAACCATGTAAATTCATGTTTTATATGTTTTATATATACATACAGTGTCAATATTAGATATTATTATAATCCTGTGATTGCGTTACCTCCACTGGAAAATATATACCAGCACAGTCACCGTAATTCAACAGAAGGAATGAAAAACCACCTCCGGAAATTAAAACTGCTTGAACTGTGATTGCCTATAAAACAAATATAAACAACAACAACAACATGATTCACAGTCTACAGTGTGTATGGAAGGTATTTAGACCCCCTTCATTTTTTTTTCATTCTTTGTTATAATGCAGCCATTTGCTAAAATCATTTAAGTTAATTTCTTTCCTCATTAATGTCCACACAGCATCACACATTGACAGAAAAGCACAGAATTGTTGACTTTTTTTTGTAGATTTATAAAAAAAGGAAAAACCATGTAATACTTCAGTTTAAAAAAAATCAGCAAAAAAGGTCAACAATTCTGAGTTTCTTCTTTCAGAATGGGGTGCTGTGTGTACATTAATGAAGAAAAAAAAAGAACTTAAATGATTGAATTTAATTTTGAATTTAATTAATTGAATTTTGATGAATTTTCGAATATTGCTGCAATATAACAAAGGGTGAAAATTGAAGGGGGTCTTATACTTTCCGTACCCATTGTATACTATACTATAAAAATTCATAATCTGCTGTGCTGTAGTATATTTACCGGTCCTAAGTGATTATTAAGTGTATACCAATCTGTTGAAAACATATAGTCCCATGTGACAACAAAGACCCAAGAAGCAGTGAAGCCCCTTTTTGGGAAATATTGGTTTATATCCTTAGTGGCCCGGTCTAGCACACTTCCACTTGTGTACTCATGAAACCAGTAATAGCCATAACCAATGTCATCAAGCTCGGTCCAGAGCGCAGCAATGTAATCTTCATTTCCATATGAGGGAAAGGGTACAGGGTGAGATTCTCGTAAAGGTTGGTTGAACGTAAGGAGTCCATTATTATTGACCTAAAATAAAAGAAATCTGTTTAAATTAGGCCTGGACAATAAATCGAAATTACTCACAATCACTATTAATTAAAAGCAAGGATTGTCATGCACATCTTGTTAGGGAAGCACGGTTATGTGATCAATAGTAAATCTCCTTTGAAGGCCAGGGGGCGCCCTTGTGTGGAAACTTCAAACACACACGAAGAAGAAACCTCGTAGCGCTGCATTATAAACAGAAGATTTAACAGCTTTTACTGATTCACCATGACTAATAAACACACGACTACAATCATCTCGCTGAAGGCTTCATTTCAAACACTTGACTGAAGTTATGACTTTAAAGTTATGAATAAAAACAAGTTATTATTATTATTAGTGCTGTCGAAATTAGTGCGTTAACGCATGCAATTTAATTTGAAATATTTAACGCGTTAAAAAAATTAATAATTAACGCAGTTGCATTTTTTTTTTCCCCCCGTTGTGGCCAGGGGCGGACTGGCGATCTGGCAGATCGGGCAGTTTCCCGTTGGGCCGACGTACTTTTTAGGCTGGGCTGATCATCTTCTTATGATCTGATTGGCTTCTAAAACACTTAGCAGACTGTTATGTTTTTTGATTGACGATTCTGTGAGCTGTGACGCTCTGAAAGTAAGATATTTATTTTCCAGACAGAGCGGCCATGTGACATAATCTGCAGCCCATTGGTTCTTTTCTTTATTGACATTGGGCTGACCCAATCACAAACTTCCATGTTGGGCTCTGTGTAAGCGTGCAACGTAGGTGTGTATTTGTCAAAATAGTCGAGAGTCACGCCTGTTTCTCACGTGCGGAGAGCAGGCATTTGCCTTTTTGTCTGCAGCGTGCAGCGGAGCACAGATTAATATATCAATATATTCCTGTATATTCTATCTAGTTACCGATCTGTCCATATAAATATCCTTTTTTTTTTTTTACTTTTAATTTGCACCAAGGCCCGCAGCAACTTCCTATGCTGTTTCCTTAACCTGCAAGTCTTTATTTTACAAATGATAAAGAAAGTCTGCTTCTCAAGCTCTATGAGGGGTCTCAGTCATGTATTTTAAGATGCACTCGGTCAGAAGACAATCGCATGAGATATCATGACATTGTGTTTTTGATCGTCTGCATGATGTAGGCTTATAGTGACAATAATATTTATACAATATGGTTATAATGAGATTTATACATGACCAAACTAGTGTGTAACTTAAGCAACTTTTTTTTTGTTGTTGACATTTTAGTTTTGTAGTTCTGCTCAAACAAATATTTGTTGGATTTTTCAATTGTTTAACTTCATTTGATTGACAATGTAAAATCTTTTAGCTATGTTAGATGTTTCATTGTTGAGTTAAACATTTTTTTAGGGTCTCTGACACATTGCTTTTATTATTTATCTTCATATTATTAATCAACATTAACTGTGTGCATCAGCAAGCAGTTTTTATCTTGTTCATTATTTATTACTCTCCCTCAAAACACACAGGCACACACAAGATGGACTTCCAGACTGGATTATATTTTTATAATAATAATAATAATAATAAAAATAATACTAAAAACTATACTAGTTTTATTAGTATTTTTATTCAATGCTTTGAAAAATAAGTTAAATCTTTGTAGACTATATATATATATATATATATATATATATATATATATATATATATATATATATATATATATATATATATATATATATATAAATAAATATATATAATTTATTTAAATGTGGGCAACAAATTATAGATTCATTTTATTTAAAAATTATTATATTATTCTTTTTTTTTTTTTTTTTTACTATAGGGGTGCGGCCAGGTAGGGGGCCTTACAAGACAATGTGCCCAGGGGCCCCTGAGTTCTTAATCCAGGCCTAATCTGCAGTAATAATCAAATTATGTTCATAAAAAAAAAGTTAGTAATAAACATTTATACAGAAGTATTTGTGTATAAAGCATCTGTTTTGTGAGAAGTGCTTCCCATATGATATGGAACGACCCATAAGGCTTTACTGTAGACATTTTCTGGAGCGAAAATGACGTTGACTGAAACTGTCTGTTATATACCACACCGACCAAAAGAGTACCATTGGTACCCTTTTAGTAGTGGAAACGCAAGCCTGATATCCGTACCGTACTACACCACTTAGTGTATACGGGTCATAAAACTTGTAGTAACGGTGCACATAATTGTTGGTGAGAGCAACTTTAATTTTGGCTGTTGCGACCACATTTTTAAAGTTAGGATAACCATTGCCACCAAGCAAAAAGGTTCATCTCGAGCCCTGAGATGGAACAATTTCTTATGACTGAATGCTTTGAACTCTCTTGAAATGCTCACACACTCGCAGGCCTTACAACACATGCAAATGATCAACTTTTACTCCAGTATATGGTAAAACTCTGCAGTGACTCTACAAAACTCATGTGCGAACTGTGGCTCTGTGGACTATTGCGTATATGCAGATTGAGATATCAACGCTCAAATGATATATTGTTGGTGAAGAACAACCATTCTATGTGGTAAACGGTTTCATCTGAAGCACACCTGCTGGAGATTTACTACACATCACATTACAATCAGCTTTGATTAAAAGTCCAACAGCAGAATATAATCCAGTTTATCACAACATTTGCATGGATATTAGAGAAGCAGTGTAACTGAATTCTCACATAAATGCTGCTGTAATTGCGGGTAAAGTATGTAAATGGAGTAGAGAAATCCACATGTTGAAAGGAATCATCGCCACGTTCAAGATGTCCAGTGTCTCCTGCTGCTGAGCCGAATGGATAGAATATTGCTGGGGCTGTCGAGAGCATAAACAACAAAAATACAAATGGGATGGGAGCAGTTTTTACATGATTTTTGTAATTATTGTGAAACTGATGTGATTGCCATTTTAATTCTTAACCCTTAAAGAGAGTATTTTGTGGGCACCTAATGGGCCTATATTATTATTATTATTATTATTATTATTATTTTTAAAGCAGTTTTATTGTTATTTTAGCAGTCAGTCTCAAGTGTCATATATTTTTTTTAAACAAGAGAACCTGAAGCTTCAATCTGTATCATTTAAAGGTCCAGTCTAAAATATTTTTTGTTCAAAAAACATATGAACAGACAGAAAATATTCCAGAATTTTAAGAAAAACGTTTTTTTTAAAGTGGCATTTTCTAGTTATTACAAACAAAACCTTATGAAGTTTTTTTTTTCTTTAGAAATACACGCTATTATGTTTTATACTTCCGAAATAAATTTTGTCTACATCCACCTCTCCCTGAGCAAGTTATAGCAATTTATTTCAATGTTATTCTAATGCGTTTTTCAGTGGGAAACAACTAATGCATTTATTTACTGACAATGTATTTGCCCAAAAGTTCTGGGAATTAACTAAACAGAAAGGTTGTTACAAAATAACAGAACACTGAAGCAAGTTTGACTTTTTCCAAATAATGCATTTTCAGTTACCATAAACAACACCACTTACAATGAACAAATAAAAAATAAGAAAATAACAAATAATGCGTCAAAGTCCAAATAAACATGGTGCAAATCCTCAGTAAAAACTTAGATATAAATATTTATTAAGGGTGTCACGATCCTTCAAATCCTCGATTCGATTACATTTTCGATTATGAATAATTAATTAATTAATAACGAATTAATTATTTGTAGCCTACCGTTTAAACTACCTGACCTGCATGGTCTTTGTTTTACCCATAAACAAATCATACAGTAAATGAATAAAGGTAAGATACACACATAATTACCACCTGTCAATCACTTTTTCTGCGGGACTCGCGAATAGGCAGTGATCTGTGTCGTTATAATGGCGTCAGTAAAAAAGGTGCACAACCAACAGGAGCCAGCCAACAGTATCTAAGGTGTTCGCTAAAATGACTACTAGTGAGTGAAAGATTAAAGCAGTTTACCAATCCTCTGACTGCCTGGACCTGTCTTGTGCGCATGGCTGTGTGTGTGTCTGTGTCTGTGTGGTCACGTGATGTGCATTTTCAGCGGCAGTGAGGAAGGAGGGCTGCTCAGAAATGCTACACACCACTGTGGATGTCAAATCGTTGTAGTTCTAAAATGCCATTTAAGAACTAAGACCTATTAGAGTAAACAGGGCTTGAGTGTGTACTTTTCGCGAGCGGATTTGCAAAGGGGGCGGGGCGGAGGATCGCGATGCCGGTGTTGTCGGACGAACCCCAATACGTACTTAGCAGAGCTTGCAAAACTGTTTTTTTTTTGTCGACAACACGAACGTTGTCAACATAACTCACTGGAAATTCAAAATGCTTTTACACCGGCGACTTCATTGAAAGAGGAGAGGGTTTAAGTTCTGTCGACGGGTCTCCTGCGTCTGCAGTTTAACAAGCACTTCAACAAGCCTGTTTTTTCCCGCTTGGCAAGCCAAGCTGACATGACATGGGGGCATGGCAGCATCAACGATTCTATTTTTTGATTCGATAATCAAAATTGAGCCTAAATGTCGATCGATTTCAATTTAAAATCGAAATCGTGACTCCCTTAATATATATAGTTACATAACTAAACTAGATTCAATTTGGACCATCCTTAGGTTTTATGTGCCAGTATATGGTGTTGTCCCTGCCGCTTCTCAACTTTTGTGTTGTACAAACAGCCGCACCGTCATTTGCGTCCTTTGAAAACAGCAAGACCAGCACTTCGTCTTTGCTGTGTCACTGTTTTGTCATGTTTCTGTGCTGTTGTGCATGGAAAAAATCTTAGTATGAAAATTATTTCATGCAAAACTTTTTTTTGTTTTTTTTTGCGTTTTATTTAGCCGTGCGTAAATGTACAGCCTATCTCTCATTCCGGATTGTTCAAATAGCTGATTGCTGGTCCACAAAGCGAAATCTATGCTTATTGGTTGAGAGAGAGCGCGTTTAAACCAATCTGGGCATGGAGGAGGGACAATGCATCTATGCATCATATCTGGTTTGTCCGGAGACACAAGCCACGAACGTTCCTTTGTCAAATCAGCGTTACCAAAATGTGATGACGTAACCACACTGATTCCGGAGCCTCCGTTTGATTGTAATGTTTTACAGCGATGGAAAGCTGAGACTCTCTTTGAGTCTTTAAATTTTATGGATCAGATTAGCGGATCAAAAGTTATTAAACATTTAAGAACAATACTTATTTTTAGCCGCGGGCGGCTGTTTCGGTCTTTAAGGGTTTTTTAATGAAGTCAATAAATACCTGTCCAAGCAGTTGTTGATGCAATGGTGGTGCTTTCCTCAGTAGTGGTTTCTGTGGTGGTAGTGCTCTCTTCTGTAGTGGTTTCTGTGGTGGTAGTGCTCTCTTCTGTAGTGGTTTCTGTGGTGGTTGTGCTCTCTTCTGTGGTGGTCTCTGGGGTGGTCTCTGGAATTGTAGTGGTGTCTACAGTGGTGGTTTCAGTGGTGGTCTCTGGGGTGGTCTCTGAAATTGTAGATGTGTCTACAGTGGTGGTTTCAGTGGTGGTCTCTGGGGTTGTGGTGGGGATTTCTGTGGTGGTCTCTGAGGTTGTAGCAGGGTCTACAGTGGTGGTGTCTGTAGTGTCTGCAGTGGTGGTTTATGTGGTGGAAACAACACAAGCAACATTATAGGTGAAATATGTGACATTTCCGTCAAATCCCCCCAAAAGTTTAAACATTGGTACTTCCGGACAGTATCAAAACCTTTACAGCAGTTTGGGGTGTGGCTACTGTGGAGGGCAGGCTGAGCCAGAGGGTGTTTGGGAGTTTTTACATTAGAAAAGCCAAAGTATGGAAATACAAACGACAGACTAAAACAAGGAAACATTGGTGGTGTTTTTATAAGATAAAGGAATTTAATAGAGTGTTTGGGTTTTAATTAAGACAGATCATTCATTCATTCATTTTCTTTTCAGATTATTCCCTTTATTAATCTGGGGTCGCCACAGTGGAATGAACCGCCAATTTATCCAGCATATGTTTTACGCAGCGGATGCCCTTCCAGCTGCAACCCATCTCTGGGAACAAGACAGAGTTGTTTTGTTTATTCTTGACAGCTGGAAATCGTAAGCTTAACATTCTTGCCATGCATGTCAAGTGCGGTCAAGTGAAAAACTTGTGCTGTGCCACAAAACAAGCCTAGTTATCCTTAATGAGAGATATTGGATCATATTGAGACTCTCTAAATTCAGCTATAAAGGTTTCTCTAAATATAGTTTCCATTCTTAAACAGCCTTTTAGTTAATATTTCTTAGAAAAGCAACTCTTGTTTCTTACTGTGAAACTTCTGAAGCTGAATTAAACATATGCATTTTAAAGCGCTTCATGAAACCATCAGTGTCAATTAAGAAGCTTTCATATGGCAATTTTAGGTGTTTACATAGTTCAATATTTACCTAGAAACATTGTTGTTTGTGCTCTGGCTGTTAAAGAAAAACAGATAGTTACATTCAGAATCACAAAACGGTACATTTATATTTCTTTTGTCAAATTATAATTGATAATAAAACAAAAATGCTTACATTGAGCCAGGAGTGATAAGAACAACAGCAGATGCGATGAAATCAGAAACATGATGATGCAGTCAGAAATAAATCCAGAATGTAAAAGGTCTTATCCTGTAATCAGAAAGATTTTAATACTATTACTACTACTTCTACTAATACTACCAATAATAATATTAATAATTTAATCATTCATTTTCCTTCAGCTTAGTCACTTATTCATGGTCGTCACAGTAGATTGAACTGTCAACTTATCTAGCATATGTTTTACACAGCTGATGCCCTTCCAGCTGCAACCCAGTACCAGGAAATACCCATACACTATGGCCAATTTATTTATTCTATTTTCCTATAGTGCATGTGTTTAGACTGGGGGAAACCGGAGCACCCAGAGGAAACCTACGCTAACACAGGGAGAACATGCAAACTTCACACAGAAATGCCCAAGCCGGGACTCAAACCAGCTACCTTTTTGCTATGACACAACAGTGCTAACCACTGAGCCACTGTGTCGCCAATAATAATAATAATAATAGTAATAATAAAAATAACAACAACTTGCGATTTAAGCACACATTTTTTGGTTGTAAATCCACCTTAAGTGAAAATAATGTGGCGTTTTGAAACTGCATAATAACATCAGAGACTTGACTGCACGCAATAAAAAAAAACATTACCATACCATTTTATTCATCTTTTCCAGTTAGTGCTGAATGTTTTACTGGCTGCATACACTATTTTTCCAACTACAGGCAAAGCCACAGGTCAAACAGAAAACACGCACTACATTTATCATATGTTATTTTTATTACGATTATTTTATTGTATTTATTTATATTTTTTTCAATAGTCTACAAAACAAACCTTCGTTACACAATAACTTGCCTAATTAACCTGCCTAGTTACCCTAATTAAACCAGTTAAGTCTTTCAATGTCACTTTAAGCTGTATAGAAGTGTCTTGAAAAATATCTAGTCAAATATTATTTACTGTCCTTATGGCAAAGATTAAAATAAATTAGTTATTAGAAATGAGGTATTAAAGCTATTATGTTTAGAAATATGTTGAAAAAATCTGCTCTTCATGAAACAGAAATTGGTGAAAAAAAAAAACAGGGGGGCTAATATATACTGACAATAAAATGGTTTAAAAAATACAAAAGCCGCTTTTATTTTAGCCTAATTAAAACAAAAACACTTTCTCCAGAAAAAAATTATCCTTATTTTATAAATGTATTGTATTATATATACAATTGTAAACAGTAAATAATATTTTACTATATATTTTTCAAGACACATCTATACAGCTTAAAGTGACATTTAAAGGCTTAACTAAGTTAATTAGGTTAACTAGGCAGGTTTGGGTAATTAGGAAAGTTATTGTATAATGATGGTTTGTTCTGTAGTCAATCAAAAACAAAATTAGCTTAAAGGGGCTAATAATTTTGACCTTAAAATGGTTTTTAAAAAATGTAAAACTGCTTTTTACCAAAAAAAGCCAAAATAAAAAAATAAGACTTTCTCTGGAAAAAAAAATATTATCAGACATACTGTGAAAATTTCCTTGCTCTGTTAAACATCATTTGGGAAATATTAAAAGAAGAAAAAGATGAAAAAAGAAAAAAAATCTCAGGAGGGCTAATAATTATAATAATAATTATTGTTATTTTAATAAAAATAACTTGGTAGTATGGCCAGACAGAATCTGCGGATATGTTTTGCCATTTCAGTGCAGAATTCTGTAGAAAATCTGCGGATTTATGCAGAATGAATTTGGGAATGATTTGAAGTTTCTTAACTAAAAACTATGAAATAAAGAATAATGTCGTTTTGACTTTTATTAATTGTCTGCAATGCAAATCTAAGATCCACGTATTTAGTAAGCAAAGCAAGTGTCCTGTATAATATATCTTCCAAAATACAGAAAATATGACTTTACAAGATAAATAAATAAAAAAATCGTATGAACATTTTTGAATTAGTCAATAATATTACTGAAATAAATTTAAAAACTGAATAAATATAAATGTACACACATTTACATGAGTAAATAAATAGACTCAATGATGGGCCAAAGATCTGCGGAAATCTGCACGCATAGATTGTGTGCTTATTAGTAATTAAATAGTTGATTAAATAACTTTTCAAATAACTGTCTCTTTAGAGTCACATTTTAGGCTACTGAGGACAACAATACAACAATATTCTAAATGATTATAAGGACGATAAAGCATGTTTAACTACTTTCACTATTTCAAGAAATCTAGACTTCCACATTTGGCAAAAATGATTCAGAATTCTATCAATAAATAACTGAAATTGATTAAGCAACATGTATTACTGTTTTATTAAAAACAAAAACGTTACCTGATTGGCTTTTTTGTTTCTGTATACCATTTATTACAACAATGCTGTAGTTCTATCCATGACACAAGGAAGGAGAAGGTGTGAGAATATTGCATGTGGAGTGATATATTCGTCTTACCTTTCTTCTCAGCTGCTCTTTCACCTGCTGTAGTTTAAGAGGAAGTTTCACTGATTTTTATGTCCCAGCACAACATCTCCTGAAGCAAAAGAGAATATGTCTTGTTGGATCCCTGCCAAAATACACAAAACAAGAACAATGCAATCTCAAATCAACTAAACTAGAGTATTTACTTCCTAAAAACCTTCTCACGCAAATGAAAATGAAAAATACTGAAAGCTTTTAGTGTGGTGCACGATTCAGTACCTTCAGTGTATCCAAATGACACCATAATCCAGCACAATGTTATGACCACAGTTCTGTTTGCCGAGTGATTTATACTGACTCATCATCTATCACACACCCCGAGAGAGCAATTTACCAAGAATAGCAACAGCAATGTTGTATTGTCGTACTGCCTTTTTATTTTTATTTTTTTTACTGTAGTAGATAATTACTGTGATAACAAAGAATGAACAGAATGAAGATCACAACGAACGGAAAAAAAAAGATCAGTCGCATGACTTGTTTTTCTGGAAAGAATACAGACTGCAATTTATTTTCTGAATTTTTTTTTTTTTTTTTTTGGATTTACAATTTTTTAAAGGTATACAATTGCAAACAATGTATATGGGCAGAATTTAAACAAACTAATCAATTGTAGTAATGTTCAACTACATTTGTTTGTTTAAATTCAGGTCATCTACATTTTTTGCAACTCTTAACTTAAAAAGAATTTGTAAATCCATTAAAATATTTTATTTCAGTATAAACCATGTCCCATACTAACATGCTTCTGCTTCATGTTTCTCACAGTTTGGGCCTTCCATCCACACTGAGATAGCGTTTTTAGGAAATGAAAAGGTTTCTTTTTACAGTTTTTTCCAATTGTTTACACACAATTACTTGTACTTCAGACAGAATCACTACAACATGTAACTGATGCACCAACCCCCTGAATCAATTCTGCTAAACTACAAGCACAGTTCCTGCTTTACACTCAAATTGCAGGTTTAAAACACACTTTTTTTTCCAAAACACTACACACAATTCTCTGCGTTTTGCACAATTTTCATGCAAAAAATCTTTTGTTTTTCACAAGGAACACACTGTCATTCACAACTGTAAAGTCAGTTGTCCTAATTTGCATATCAAGTCATCACATGAGTAAACACCTTTCACAAAGTATTGCAATTTAGAAATCAGAGCTCATCTGGTTCATAATGGTGCCCACCCATGTTTTTTAGTTGTTTATCTCCCTCCATATTCTCCATTTCTCAAACCTATTGCAGGGCTCGAAATTAACTTTTTTACTTGGTAGCACCGGTGCTCCCAAATTCAAAAATTTAGGAGCGCCAGAAAAAATTTAGGAACACCAGAAAAAATTTAGGAGCACCCATTGATTGAGCACTGCTGCAAATTGTATTTTAAGGGATTTATTGTATTTTAAAACAACATCAATTAGGACTAACAAAAACCAGAAAGAACTATCTAACTAATGCTGAGATGACATTGATATTTGTGTGCAATAATTCCTAAATTAATGTCTAATAATTCTAGAATATTAATGATGATGAAAATGACAATAATAGTAACAATGAATTACATTAGTCATCATCATGCTGCCTTGAATGTGCTTGAATGCAAGTTGTCTGCTATAAAAAGTCTGTTACTTTATGAAAAATAATTGTATAGTTTGCATCAAACAAAAATGAAGCATTGCAGTAAGAAATATTTATTTTGTACTGCTAAACAGCATTAATATGCATGTCAGTTTAATAAATAATATTTCTGCTACAAAACAAACAAAAGATTATAATAAATAATTAAATTCAAGGCTGAATGCTGCAAAACAGTCATCAGTAACTACATAAAAAAACTAATAATATACACCTTAAGAAAGAATAGACAAAAGAAAGTAAGTCAAGTCTCACTTCTATCACTCTTTAAAAGTTTTGGTTTCAGTTTGTGTCAATTTAAATGTTCAGTCTGAGCTGATTGTCATTTTTCTGTGTTTGTGGAAAGCAGGCGATTCAGCCGACCCAATTTATGAGCAGGTTGAACAGAATTCTGACCACCGGCGCAATACCGCTGTTGGTTATGCACCGCAGTTTCAGTGTAAACTTAGTAAAGGCGAGCTTCTTTGGCGATGATATGTACAGTATTAGATTTGACTTTTAGCGGATATTTGCGCTGAACACGCAGTGAATGCAACGCATCGAGATTCGGGCGCCTTCTCCGAAAAGCACGTACTCGATTGATCTCAGCTGGCGGATCAATATTCACCACAAGTCATGATCGCTATCATCTGCGCCTCAACTTTAGATGGGGATTGCAAACCTGTGTGCTTTAAGTTTTCACTCTTCAGCCGTTTGCATTTTCCCGTGGTCATAAAAGCTCCTTCCCTGTCATCTGACAGCGGAATACCTTGAGTGATTGACGGCGTATATAAACCAATATAGCGGCAGGGAAGAGCGATTCAGCACATTTTTAGAGAAAATCTAAACAGGTCGCACTACAACCATTATCTGCAGTCGCACTAATGCTGCCATATATATTATAAGGTCGCATAGATTAATTTTCGGGCGCATATGCGACCAAAATGGTCGCAATTTCGAGCCCTGTATTGAGGATTTTTTGTCTGCCTGGAGATGTAAAGTATATGACCGAAATCCACACACACGTATACACGTTCTCCAAGCTATAGCAGTTGATGCCTTTCGTGGCTGGATTCGCCATGCAAACTGACATTTCCCTCACCGCTTGGCCAGACCAAAACAGAAAAGAGGATGCAGTATAGCTGTCTTTTTTAATTTTTAATTTTTAATTTTTTTTTTTACTGTAACTGTATTCTGTAAATACTTCTGTTGATGGTATGTAGACCACGTTATCTGCAACTTTGTGTTGGTTGGGATGAACACTGTTTACACTGTATTTGTGGGGAAAATACAGTAAAATATATTTGGTATTTGTTTGTTTTGTATAAAAACAATACTCTGAAATATTTTACAATGCACTTCTGTAGGGCTACTGTCTGTAGTAAAATGTAACACTGAACAAAAAAAGGCTTACAGTAAGTCATAATGATGAATGGAGAAGAAAAGTTCATAGTGCTTTACATTCAGCACATCAGTGTTCAACTGATCTTATAAATGTCTATTGATGTAATGGTCTGTGTGTGTCATTTGAAAACAAAATACCATTTTGAGAAGAAATCACATTGTTTTGAACGTAGAGTTTCATTTTGCTGAAGAATTGAAGGGTTTTGCCCAATGTGTGTGAGTTTTGTGATTTGTGATTAGAGTTCTGACAATATGAGACCAGCTTACATAAAATGTGTGTAAGCAATTGGAAAAAACTGTAATAACACTGATCAAAGTGGATACAATAATCTAAAATAAACCTTTTTTGGCAACACTTTAAAATAACTACACACTATGAATCATTTACTAAGCATCTAGAATCCATTATCTGTTAAGCAATAATTCTACATTAATAAACGTTAGTAAGCAGTTTATAACTGCAAATGCTGTATTATTGACTTATTACCACATTTATAATTTGCTTAATGATTGCACTTTCATACTTCGTGACTGGTTGATTTTTCATTACTAAATTAAGTATCGCATTATCTACTAACCATTTGTATTTAAGAGTAGTTGAAGGTTTTTAAGATCGTTTAGAATGAGTTAGTAAATGATTAAACTATTGAAATTAACATTCATATGTCTAATTATTCATGCAAATGTTAATGGTTACTATATATGTAATAAATGCTTTATTAACTCAACTTTATGCAGTTTTGTGAGCTAATCTAAAGTGAGGACTATTTATGCTTTATAAATCCCTTATAAATGACTATTAAAGGCTCAGAATCAAATGAACAATAAATCTTTGCAATCTTATATAAAGTCAAATTACTGTAAAGTTTAAACATTGCTGAATAACAGGAGTGTTAAAATACGACATAAAATTGAATAAAACGACAACAATATAATAATTTAACAATAATAAGATGCAATGCTTAAACGGCACATTAATTTTATTTTAGATGAGGTTGCAAAGATTTATTTTTCATTTGATTCAGTTTTATTTGTGTATCTTCAAATGAATAGAAAAGAATAATGTCGTTAATTTTCTTTTTTTCTGATTAAACTTTAACTGAGCCTTTATTAGTAATTTATAAGGGATTTATAAAGTATAAATAGTCCTCACTTTAGGTCACAAAACTGGATGAAATTGAGTTAATAAAGCATTTATTAACATACAAATTACCAATTAGAATATGCCTGAATAATAAAAATTATAAATGTTAAATTTGAATAGTTTATTAATCATTTACTAACTCATTCTGTATGATCTTAAAAAAACACCAACTATGCTTAAATAACTGGTTTGTAAATAATGTGATACTTAGAATACTTAGATTTTTAAAAATGCAAAATAAATCATTAACGAAGTATGAAAGTACACTAATTAAGCACATTATAAATGTAGGTATAAGTCAAAAATACAGCATTTGTAGCTGCAGTTATAAACTGCTTACTAACGTTTATTAAAGTTTTCTAATGCTTTATAAATGATTTATAGTGTGTAGTTATTAGAAAGTGTTACCCATTTTTCCACTATGAAGAATCTTTGGTGCAATATAAATGTTGTGTGAATGTTTTAAGTTCATTATGAAAACATTAATGCCAATAAAGATCCTTTCATTTTTAGGCTGTATGAAACACACTGCAGTCTCTTAGTGTGTACAAAACCGCCAACATTTAACAGTCAGCAAATATTTCTTAAAGTGCCTGGTATTGTAGTAAATATCTTCTTTTGTGTTCAATGTAACAGGTTTGAGTTTCTTTTTTCATTGAATACAAAAGAAGATATTCTGAAGAATGCAGGAAAGCAGCAGCTATTGACTTTCATAGTATATTTTGTTCATATATCATGTCAATGGCAGCTGGTTTACAACATTCTTCAGAATATTTTGTCTTGTGTTCAACAGAAGAAAGTTTAGAACCACTTGAGTGTGAGTAAAAGCTGAGGAAGTCCCTCTTTAAGTGCTTTAAATGGTCATGAAAACACTCTGCTTTCTAAACCAATTTAATATTGTTTAAGATATTTTAGTACACTGATTTCTAACAATCTCTTGCTAAGTGTTTGTAAATCACTGTGAATAAAAAACATATACAGTTGAAGTCGGAAAATTAACCCCCCCCCAACACATTTTTAAACATAACATTTTTTCAACACATTTATAAACATAATAGTTTTAATAACTCATTTCTGATAACTGATTTATTTTATCTTTGCCACAATGGCAG